TAAAACCCCAAACTATTGGCACCATCAATGAGGGAATTAAGACAAAACTCAAACCTTGGCACAGGGACTACATAGCCTATCAAAAATAAGGAAGGACAGAAACACAGAGGAAGCTCAAACTGACAACTGGGATATACTGAAGATAAAAACCTGTGTACATCCAAAGACATTTCCAGGAGAGTAATAAGAGCCCACAGACTGGGCAATCATCTTTAGTAATATCATATCAGACAAAGACTTGATTACTAAAATTTACAATACTCTGCTAGCCTATCATAAAAAAATAGCCTATTGAGGACGTGGGCAAAAAAACTGAATAGAAGTTTCACAAAGACAGAAATCCAAATGGCCAATAAACATATGAGAAATTGTTCCCAATTATTATGCATAAGGGAAATGATAATTTAAACAACTATGAGATACCACCTAACACCTTCAAATCAAAACCTCAGAATCAGCAAATGTTGGAGCATTTGTGGTGTGATAGAAACTTTCATCCACTGCTGGTAGCTCTGTTGGTATATGCAGTCATTCTGGAAATCGATTTAACCATACATATAAAAATGGTAATTGAGGTGCCATATAACTCAGCAAACCCTCAACTGGACATATACCCAGAAAAATGAAGAGGCAATCCATGGCCAGATATCTGCTTTCCAATATTCATCGTGGCAGAGTTTACAATCACAAACAGTTGGAAACACCTAAATTACCATCACTGGACAAATTAATTAAAAAAAACGCTGGTATATACATAAAATGGCGTAGTAGTACACATCACTAAAATGCAGTGATGAATCCATGAAGCACATCATCTCATGGGGAGAATTGGAGGGAATTATGTTAGTAAAGTAAGCCACGCACAAAAGGTAAGTACAACCTGAGTCCGCTGAGATAACCTTAAAAAGCACAAGGAGCATAGGGGGAAAAGCCACCAATTTCTCACCTTCCCAACATTATTGCTTAAGAGAAAATGGGTGAATAAGCAAATGTAGTGAAGAAAGCTGAAGGTGCATCACTAATACAAGATATAGAATCTGGAGTCTTAGAAGTTTGAAGTTAAACAAGTGACCATCTAGCAGGAATGCAATAAAGCCCATGAGGAATAAGCACACCAGCCTGTGTGATCATGAGGTGTTGATGGAATTATCTATTAGGCATCAGAGGACGCAATACAAACAATCATATAGGTTTGAGAACGAGGGGGTCAGAGTGAAGGCCTAAAGCCCATCTGTACATAATAGGATATATCTCTGAAAAGGGTCACAATGAAGGGAGAAGTCAGTCAAGTTGCACTATAGCACTGAAAAAAAACACAGCATCCCTCTTGCTCAGCAGTTCTCAACCTGTGGGTTGCGACCACTTTGAGGATCAATTGACCCTCTCAAAGGGGAATCCTGATTCATAACAGTAGAAAAATTACAGTGATAAAATAGCAACAAAAATAATTGTGTGGTTGAGGGGTCACCAAAATATGAGTAACTGTTTTAAAGGGCCATGTCATGAGGAATGTTGAGTATCATTGCTTTTGTTCTTGAACGCTTCCTCTCCCCCACTATTATGACCACAGTTCTACCTACAACTCTGG